ACTTACTCCTTCATTATACTCCTCATAACCATACATTTGCATTACTCTGCAGCATGCCCTGAGATGACGACTTCTCACAGTTAACAGTTAACCTTAACTACGTGCCCACACACTGGTACAAATCACTACTGTTCCTGTTCGTCCAACAGACCTGCTATGATGTTTAAAAACACAAGATGATATTAAACATGTCCTTTGTTTGGCAAGACTACAAGTCTGTGTTTGTGTGTGTGTAAGAGATCGATCACACTCACCAGCACCGAATGCATTCCCATGTAGATTCGGCTGGAACAAACCAGCAGACACCAGCAGAGAGCCAAGATGAATCCCAGTGTGGACGGGTACTGTGGAGGTGAAAGGAAAAAAGTTTAAAGACATCTAAAAAGCCTAAAAAAACTGAATTTATGATGGTGAAACACAGAAGCAAATAAATCTTCACATATACATACATATACATGTTTAATATTTTTACTTTACAATAACAACTAATTATGCATGACACAATATTTAAGGCATGTAGTGCAAAATACAAATAAAAAAACAAAGTGTATTCTGAACTGCACTGCGTGAGCATGCTTTGCTTTACATCAAAAAGTGCACTACTGTATCTGTCAGTAAGTCACTGTATCAAAGCTAACCTATCAAATTTGTGTTTATTGTTCTGTATTTGCATGTCAACAAAAGAACTCATGTCGTGGGAGTAGAATTTCATCCAGAACTTGTTCAGTTTGCAGCTTATAATGAGCCTTAAAATGTTTCTGTGATGTAGTGGACATGATTATCTGCTAATGTGTACCAGACTCAAATGTCCTCATAAATGTTTCAGCAATTTTGCCACTTCCTTATCAGATGCTCCTGGCCTGCAGCATTGAGAGGAGGGAGCCAAGGCGTGTTTACTTGTATAACACCTTTGAACAACACAAAATAACAGCTTTATGTAAGGCATAAAATATAAAAGAAACACATAGAAATTTGAATACAGATGAATAGGATTTGAAAAAAGGAAAAGAAAAAAAATACCTAATGGCAACTACCAACTAGCTAAAGTATCTATCGGACATTTAAAAAATATATATATATTTATGTTCAAGCAATTTGAATGTCAACGAAGTTTATGGTACAATCTTGGTTGCCTACCATAAAGATGTAATTATGTCCAAAGTCAAAGGGCTGTTTTCTGTTGTTCCACCTGAATCAGCATTGAGGTATCGCTTGCTAATTTTAATTTCCGGAAGTTATGTTTGTAGGTGCAGTTCTATGTACATCACTAAATTTCTATTAATTTACTAATAAATACCAATTCAGTACATTTATATTCCAGTATGTACTTATTTGTAATACAAAGTTAGGAAAGCACTGTTTAAGTTGGGCCTTATGGTACCTTGCAGAGAAAAGAATGATTACAAGTCTTTCCTCGCAGTGAGGCATCCAGCTTTTTCATTTGATGCTGGTTTTGGGTCAGTATTTGGTATTAGAAGTTACCCGAAGCCTAACTGGATCAGAGCATCCACAGATTCAGCATGCAGAAAGACTGAGAAAAGACACAATGAGTGACAGTTTGACTGGAAGAGAAGGCAGAGGATACAGTGAGCTGCTGAGGTTTGCACACTTGCTAAAAACCTTTTGCGTTCCTTGCTGTGGATACTCTGAGTTCAGATGGCTCATATTTCCTCTCTCAGAACAGAATTACAGTACTAATCCCACAACATCACAGCATCTCCCAGCACTCTGGCCTTTAGGGGAAAATGAATCATGAGAGCTACCTGATGGTGCTTGGTGAAGGCTGATTAAACAGAGATAAGATACTGATTTATGGGGTGACACACTTGACACCAATTTCCAGTGAATAATCCTGTGATACTGCAAACAGTTGCTCACTGCAGATGAGGCAGAAACATTACTAAATATACAGCTATGAGACAGCTGGCTTAAACACATTCTAACAAACCTGAAAGAGCTTTTATCAGGGTTTTGTTGCATTTCTTGGGCTTTTTTTTTTTTTAATGACTGGCACCAGTGTGAAATTCTGGGTCATGGCACGTAACAGAGACTGATAGTAAAAATACATTTTACTCCAACTTTCTCCATTTAAAATTTATGGAACCAACTGTTTTTGTAATAAAAGATATGATTTGTTCCTAAAAGTGTAGCTACTGCAGACAAACCACAGCTAACCACAGCAGCACCTTTATTCAAACGTATGCTCTCACTGCAAAGTATCATATGCATATATTTGTGTATATAATTGCGGTTCATCCCTATCTTTAGTGGGGTTTTTAATGTCCACGTAGGCTGTCAGAGGGCACAAGTTACTGTGTTTTTGATTATTTTTCATGACAACAGTATACTAACTAAACTTAAAGGCTGACCCTGCACACTAGAGATCAGTGGGTTTAAAATGAACCAAATGGCACACTAAAGCAAACCTTCTACTCACACTTATGACATTTGTGGAAACCAAGCAGGACTTATTTTTGTTATGCAGTGAACTTCACTAGCATCTAAATCATTGCTCTTAGTTTCCTCAGTCACGGTAGATAAAAATGGGAACCTCCTTGTGACCAGGAAACATTAGTGGTTGCCCGGTGATTGCACTGAATTCCTTTGCATTCAGCGACTGACAGCAAATAGTTGCAGTGACCAAGTGGTTTCCCAGAGGTTGAGCATGTAACACCCTCAAACACTTCTGAACTCAAGGCACTTGGACAAGCTACTAGGTTGGACACAACCTGTGTCCAAATTCAATTTATAGACACAGACATATTGCCAACTAATGCAACTGCAATTAATGTGAGTCAGTCTGGGTGATTGATGAGCGCAGCTCATCTGCAATGGGTCTCTCTGCAATAGGGGACTCGACTTAACAAGGCTGCCATCTGGTTGTACTCTGGTTACATTCCTATATATAAACAAGATTTCCAAGCAACTGTCATTTTGCACTTAAATCAATTACTTCAGTATTTATGGAGCAATTTCTGTTTCAGCTCTATGAGGTTCTTATTTGACTGAAAGTATTTTAATGTAAATATCTGTATGTAAACAGCAATTGATTTGCAACAGCTTTGTGGTTTTTGCCTATTTATCACACTTAATCGTAGTATTAACTTCAACTGATTCGATCATAAACTGACAGTAGATTCTTACTGCTCCTTCATGCACCAAAGCTGCAAAGAACTGACTTTGACTGTCTACAGATCTGGTTCCCATCTTTAAAGCAAATATTTAAATGGCAACAAGACTCAAGTTCATTGCACACTGTCACAATAATTTTGGATGTGTTCTGGTTTCCAAACACTGTTTTCTTTAGCGTTAACGGTGCACTGCTGCTGATGCTCTATGCAGTAAGCAAAATGTAACTGAACTGAATAGCCATAGGTGGCAACATTGGTGACAATATCTCATCCAGCTTCAAATCAGAGCTGGACTAATGCCAATCTACTAATCCAGTATTTGGATGGATATTAGTCCAGTTCTGACTTGAGAAATACTACATCAGTAGATCCATAATTGTCAACATGCTACATTAGGATGCAGAACATTATACATTATAAACATATCAAAAACACCAAACACCTGCCTAACAGACACTGGAATTATATTTTAGCCATCCACATTCAGAGTGAGCAGTAGGCATCTTTCTTGAGGACAAAGTACAATATTGCACCAGAAAGGCAACTCTTTAAAGCATATCCTACATTTAGCAAGACTCCCGCGAGACTCTTCTACAGGTGTCTTTTTAACCAGTGAGTTTTCAATTATAAACTCTAAGACCTTTTTCAAGAATGGGGTCAGCGGAGAGGGAGGTTCTGGTTGAAAAATAAAGCGCCTTTATGTGTGTGGATTAGCTGTGAAGCCAAGTCAGATGCAGGAGCCTGACACACAGATTGACACTGAGACTGAGAAAAATCAGCTGAACTTCATGAGGGGGGCGGGGGCTGTGAGGACACCATCAAACACCGTTCTCTGGCTGCCCGTAAACACAAAACGTGTCTCTGGTTCATGTCTGCATATCCACTCTGGCCTCGTGTCTGTGACCACAGCAGTGGTGTGGCGGTTGCCTCATGTAAAGCTTTATGGACATGGTGAGCTTTCTTCTGTGGGTTGTGGTTCCCTGCACACTGCTTGCTGAGCCTCAATGCTGAGTTTTCTCAGTATTCTCCCAC